GCACATAAAAAGAAAGTAAAGTTTATTGATATTAATCAAACCCATTTCTAAGATGCTCCCTACATTCATAAGTCCACTCAAAATCGTAGTGGCGTTTGAATGCGTCTGGGGGCTATGCAATGATTAACCATGTAAACCGATGTACCAGTCAGTGTTTTTTCCTCCGAAACCCCTTGTCCAGTCTGTCTTTGATGTAACGAGTGCAACAGCAAAAAATGAGGATGAAACCAGCGACTTTTTGTTTGCTCGAGTTTTTGTCTGCCTAGAACTTCTCCGAAAAGTTTTGATGTTGTCAATGATTGATGATATCCAGATGATTGATGGAATTCACAAAGCATTTTGAGTTTAACTCTGGAAAACGACCAATCAGCCTAAATAACGTCCTTCAGCTTCCATACTTCCTACCTGAGCCCCGCCCTATCTGAGGGTAGTTTCCTACATTTATGCATTCTGAAACAAATCTCGAATGGAAGTCTCATTGCTCGGCCCCCAAACATTTTTGTCCGTTCACTATATTGTAGGTTGAATTGGAAGGGTCTGTACACCAGACACCCCTAAGCTCCCCTATTCCCTCACAGGCGCTCACCAGTAAGACTTAGGATCCAGATAAAAAGATTCAGAGCCCCTAAGATGGGCCCTGCATAAATGGAGCATTAGGAATGCCTGACAAACCCTTCTTCGAAGAAAACTGTGAACTTCAGAGCAAATGCTAATCAAAAACTAGTCCAAAAGCCTATGAACCAGTTCTCCTTGTGGGCACTGAGTTTTGGCAGCAAACAACTCCTTCTATGGCTGGCATACTGACATCAAGAAGAAGAAAACATCTCAAAAAGATCGCACTCATCGAAAACCTTTTGTTAGTTTGCTAACAAAAAGCTCAGAGAAAAGTCGGAAAATCCAAAATTGAGCCTCACAAAGCCGGAAATCTTAGAATCCGTAGAATAATCGGACTTTTCTCGGGTAAAATGAAGTTCCCATTTATTGACCACCTGCTGGCGGCATCCCCGTTCCAAGTGGCTATCGATGCTATTTGCATTGGCAATAAAAACAAACACGCTAATCTCATAAAAGCCTCAGACCCTGGGGCTTTACAACCTGTCGCTGAGTCTGGTTGCTACAGGAGGGTTTGAGGCTTTCCTTTGAAATTGGCGCATATCCAATTTGCAACTATATATAATTAAGTAGCATATGTTCCATGCCTTAGTACTCATAGGTGGTTATGTAAATAGATGTGCGAAGAATGAAAAAGAGATTTTATGACCGGGCATTCTCTGTTCCCTAAAAGATGCGCCATGTATTCAACATACATACATTTCGAGTTATTTGGATGGGCTTCCTACATTACTCACACCACTGCTTTTGAACGATTTCTATCATTCTAGATGGATCTGCTGTCGGTTTGCAGTTCTCAAGTCTGGGACAAAGGAGAGAAACAGTGTTATCCGACTGCACTCAATTCCAGCACAAAATGCGCGTTCAAGGAAAGCAACCTGTGTATAGTGTGCCCTTAGGTCCGATCGGCCTTGTGCTAAAACATAAGCGATTGAGTGGTCTCCCTCTTTGTGCAAGTTCTAGTAACGGAATTCAACTTTGTGATCATATCCTAAATAAGTAATTCGATAATCCAGCAGGCAGGCAAAGTCTCCTTAGAAACCTCAGTGGATCGGAGATGGGGATTCACTCGCATGAACCAATGAACAGCTTGCATTACAAGAAAGAGTCCTGTTGTTGTGAAGATGATTCTGAGAAGATCTTCGGGGAAAAATTTAAGAGGTCGTTAAAGTTTTTCGAATGTCTGGAGCAAAATGTTCGATGAACAGCTGTTTTGTCGGCGTATTTCAGGGTGGTAATGTGGAAACATGTATTTCTTGAATGCCCAATTAGTCCCGAAGATTTATAGGGAATTGCCTGAATCGGAAAAAGTCGCAACTTCACATATTGCCTAGAGGGAATAACCTTTAGATTGAATAACCGCCACTAGTGAAGAAGCTGATGAAAGCGTTGGGTAAAGGTCACGATTACTGGAAGGGCCACTCTTTCAAATGGCTGCGTCTACCAGAACTCATGGTGCGACCCTAGGGCGATCAAGGAGCGATTGCAATACCTGCTACCCCTGAATCTCAGGGACAGCCGTTATCCGAAAGTTTGCCTCTCTGGAATTGAGTCGTACGGTAGGCCAGATGCCTGTGTTACGGTATTAAAGGGTTGGATTACTGACGAGTAGCAGCAGAATTACCAAAAGCTAAATGGATCTGATGGCCTTGCCAGAAGAGGCTTGTGGACGAGTTTTCTAGAACGTCAACATATGAACATCTCTATTTGAATTATCAATGACTACCCCGCAAGCATCGTCTGGGGCCAGGGTAGGGGTGGAGCTGACATCGAACCTATACAACCAAGAGGGGGCGAAAAATGCGGAAGAAGAAGAAGAATACAGAGAACAACATCGCGGCAAGAGAAGTATCAAATTATATTTTTGTGCTACATTCCAGCTGTTCCAAGCTGTTGAGAGTGAGAGCCAGAGCTGAGAGTTACTGAATTCAAAAGAGTAGGTAAGGATTCGGACTGAAGCTGTGGTTCAGCTTAGCGTTTCAAAAGGAAAAGCAAGGAGTATGATCGAGTTAAAACCTGAGTGGTTTCTCATAAATGGGATCAGCAACGTCACGACTTCAGTCAAGAGTAGTAAATGGGTTTTGATTTTCGATGAAAACGAAGTGGCTTCTCAAACAAAATACCCGATCGATCCATTCCCGTTACGGATTTGCCAGTTTTGATATTTCAACTTCTGAATGGTCATGAAATTTAATAATTTCGATCATCTCCCTTGGAGTTCCATTATTGATAATTCAGAAAGGGATTATAACATGAACTAATCTACGACGGCGCTCAAAAGTATTCGGCCAAACGCTTCCACACTTTTTCGTCCACAACTTTTGTCCAAGTGGAGCAAATCGCATGAAATTTTGATATATTTAACTGAAGCATATTTCAAACTATCCAACACTATTTGGCTGCAATGCGGCAACGTCCACACAACTAAGGGAAGGCGTTTGTAGACTATGCCGAGAGCAAGTCTGTGACGTCTGCAGTTATTCGCACCTTATGTGCGTTTTTCTCCTCTACTGTGTTCCGCATTGGCGCTCGTACACTTTGAGCATGGTGAAAAGCAAAGAAATCCTAGAAATACCAATGTCCCTATTTTCAGTTGGTTTTGTTTTCAAGCTCATTGGGATATTTGGAACATGATCAGATTGAGGATAAATAGTGGTGAATATTCACAGTACACCAATGCTACACATATTGAAATTTCGCTTGATTAGATCCAGTAGGAAAGGGGTTACGACTGAAATTACGGCTGAAGAAGCCTTTGGTCGAATAATTTCAAGCGCAAGCGAATACTGTATATATAGTAGAAAGAGGTTGAGTTTCTATTAGAACGCATCAGTAGAAAGTAGAAATCATTGTGAATGGCTGAGTAATCGACAAATGAACACCAGGAAGGCAGCATGGCGCAAACTTTACGAATGTAATACCTTGATGGGAAATTGGCAGTAATTATTTTGAAAACAAAAGCGTAAAATCCTAAAAGCTGAGGTGATGGTATACATAGATTGAGTGTTCACGAACGTCCGTGGCACTCACGCTTTTCCTAAACGCCCTTCCAATCCGGAGCGTTGAATTGGTTATAAAGAGATTCTGGAAAAAGCATAGAATTACTAGTGAGGCAGGATGATAAACAGGAATCGTAATAAAAACTCTATGAGAATAAAAGGGAAGCTGTAGAAACCTCCTGAAGAGCTATAGAGCAACAGGTAAAGATTCGGTATGGTCCCCATACACTAAAAGGAAGGATTCTTTGGAAAACGTCTCTGAGCTCTTCTTCGGTGTGAAGGAGTGTTACAAAACGGCTTTTGAAACGACTGGCTTAGCGAACAGTGCTCTTCGTAGGTTATAGGAATATAAACTGATAATAACTTGCCAGCTGTTATTCGAAATGGGCCACGAAACTGGCTGGTGCTGAAAATTGAAAACGTTTTTGAATGGTAAACCGACAGATTCATGAAGTTGCCTGACCACCCAAAGTGAAAATCAGTGGCTTTATTTACCCAGACTAGTTCTGCTGATATTAGGCGATCCCTGAACAGTGGGAGGGCAAGATAGGCGGAGTGTGTTCGGGTGACGGACTCGAAACACCGGCATTCCGCGGATGAAAGCAGGATGGTTGCCATTGCGCCACATTCGTTTTTCCAAGGGAATTATATAAGAAAAAAACTGGCATATCTGTGAGAGGGGAAAGATAACCTAGAAAATGTGAAGGACTGATTTTGGCAAGAAAGCAGTGAACTAGGATTTATACTCCATTTCGTGGATGGCCATACTCCATGGCTGACTCCTATTCTTAAAAGGCTCCAGAAAGGTAAATTAAGAATAACCAACAGGTGGGAAAATTTTCTGTTCATGCCGCAATTGGAGTAGATGCCTAGCGGATTACGTTTGGGGTTGTTGGAATTGTCCGTCGAAAGCCAGAGCTGACAGATCGACGCGCAGCAAACAGAACAGCAGTCTGTGGAAGCGAACAAGTGAACGAGGAGAGCAGAGTCAATAACCGAGTGGCTTCCATTCCTCCTCGTCCACGCCTCCCCTCGATTTTCACTCATTGGAAGCTCGTGGACGGAATATCTCCGTAGACAAAAAGTACATCGTCCAACTGTTTCCAATGAATTCCTCACTATCGCAACAACATCACATTTTTCACACATCCGACGTCGACGATGAAACAAACAACCATCAGTTATCTAGGTAGAGACTGAATTCTCGCTACATAGATTATCAAGAATTTGTTCCTTCAAATCAAATGGAATGTTGCCCAAGACCTTAAGGAATTCTTGAAAACGGTCGAAAGTCGTTGACCTAGGTAGGTCTAGCTAATGTGAGTAGAATCCAACTTACTGGTACAAGCTTCTTCACGGATTTAATGGATGAAGTAGATCTCCGATATAGCTGCTGGTGTTTCGTTAGTTTCTATTTATTTATTTGTTTACATAATTTTGTATTTCGTTCAGAGAAACCTTGGGGCCGTGTTAATGAGTATTGAAAAACATGCTGACCCGAGAGATTTTGGGAAAACATAGTCTCCGGGTGTTATCAAAGGCATAATTAAGAGTGGACTGATCCTACACGTACTCTGGCTTCGATGAAAACGCTGCCTAGATGGGAGCGGTGCGAAAGGGGGTAAAGGTGGTGTGTGGCTTGTCGTCTCAGAAAACGGCCCAGAAGGGACCCAGGATGTGTAAAGGAACAAAAATGCCTTCTACCGTCGAAGATATCCATTGACGGGCTGTCGAATCAGCCAAGGGAGACTGCTAAGTGGACTGTAAAGCAATCGTGGGATATTGTACCCATTCCCTTATGCAGTTACTAATAAGCAGCGAACGAAGTCGTCGAAACTTTTCTTTTTTCTAGCACTTGACATGTACTCGTGCTATGTATGTCCGAAACGACGAGGTCCGAGGGAAGTCATTTTCTGAATTTCCAGAGTTTCCATGGAATTTTCGACTTTCGAAGGGCAAATTTCCAAGGTTCCCATGAAAGTCCCGATTTTCGAAGAAAGTTTGAAAGTTAGGGACAAATTTTTATTTTTATTATTTTAATTCTATTCCCTAGCTCCCCATTCCTCTAATGTTATGCCATCACGAAGTGA